CCCCGTCATTTGGCGCTTCGGGGTGTGGGGCGGGTTGGCTCTGGGTGGGATGTGCCTTTCCCCCGGTTTGATAAAAGCAAACGGGGGTTTGCACGCTGGGTCCCCCTAACATAAGAAGGACGTGGATCTGTTGGAGCGGGGCCGGAGAAGGACGTGAAGATGGTCAGAGGGCTGGAGCACTTCTGCTGTGAGGAGAGGCTGAGAGAGTTGGGGTTGTTCAGCCTGGAGAAGAGAAGGCTCCAGGGGGATCTTATAGCCTCTTCCAGTACCTAAAGGGGCTCTAGAAAAGCTGGGGAGGGACTCTTGATCAGGGACTACAGCCATACGATGAGGGGGAATGGTTTTAAACTGAAAGGGGAGATTTAGATTAGATATTGGGAAGGAGTTCTTTCTTGAATTGAGGGTGGTGAGGCACTGGCCCAGGTTGCCCAGAGAAGCTGTGGCTGCCCCATCCCTGGAGGTGTTCAAGGCCAGGTTGGATGGGGCTTTGAGCAACCTGGTCTGTTGTGAGATGTCCCTGCCCATGGCAGGGGCAGTGGAACTAGATAATCTTTAAGGTCCCTTCCAACCCAAACCATTCTATGATTCTGTGAGTCGGTTGAGTTTTGTGGGTGCAGTGCGAGACAGTGAGGTAAGACCGGGGTTTTGGGGTAAGCACCCTTTAGGTATCCAAAAATAAAGCTGTGTGTGGTGAAGCACAACAGACATGAGGGAAAGTGGGTAGCAAAACCTGTCTGAGCCTCACCTCTATAGATGTTTACCCAGGTGGGTAAACTGGCTCAAACCAGTTGGTTGGTTAAACTGGTCCAGTTTTGCAGTAGGACATGGTCTTAGAGTGGCTCCTGGCCTCACCTGTGGCCTGGACCTAGCTGATTTCTGCAGTGATCTTGAGCCAGTGGTTCTTGTTCCTCCTGCTGCATCATTGCTACCTGCAAAGTGAGGAGTGCGAATCAGTGCAGCCAGCGGAGGGGCTAATTAGTGCTTTTTAGATAATTGTTTCCAGGAATAAGGTGGCTGAATGGTCCCACTGGCTCTGGGTACCATGCTGGGATGCTCTGCTCCTGTTTTAGTACCTCAAATAATTCCTGGTATTAAAACAATCCACTGGCTGTCAGGGCAGGACCTCTGAGCTCAGCTGTCCCATGCAGTCTGCATGGTGGAAAACCACCAACGAAGCCCCAGAGCTTTCACCCACCCATTCCTTGACTGAATGAGTATGGATCCGGTGCTATGGCTGTTGGAGCAGCTGGTGCCACCTGAGTGGCCAAGGGCTGCTTGCGGACATCGAGGTGCTGAGTGTTTGCCTGCTCTCAGATAATGTTAAACTTTGTTGTGTTACTGTAGTTGGTCTGGGTTTTCAGAAAGTGTCTCAAAACTTAGAAGGTGGGAGTTGCAGCCTTACAGTGAACCTGTTAAAAATAGGGAATGGGATTATAATCCTAATCCAGGAGACCTTTCTTGGGGCCCCAGAGAAACTGTCCTTTAATCTTCTTTTCTACTTTACCTTCTCTTTAAAGCCTATCTGCTAATCAGTATTAATTTTGTTTTAACTCTTGTGATGTCTGTCCTTTGCTATACTGGTTGTGTTGCCACCTCCCAGGTGAAACCCAGGGCAAGTTTAACAGGCAGGAGCAGACCGAGAAATGTTCCTCACCCTAGTGACAATCATCTCCTGTGTCCTCCTTCGGTGACCACCTTGTCTTTTTGCAGCCCACTGGGGTCTACGTGGCTGTTTGTCCTTAGTCCCAAGCGTGGCACCTCCCCACATATGAGGATCTTTATTAAATAGCCATGCTGTTCTGTTGCCAATCGACTCCAGCCCGCTGTGGTTTTGGTGATCCGTGGTGGTTAGGCTGGATCCAAAACTGTTATAGGAGTAACATGCTGGAGGAGAGAGATGCTCTGTGCTGGATATTTGCAGATTGGCTGCTCTGAAAACGCCAAAATCTGAGCAAAAGGGAAAAAAATTGAGCTTCTGCTCAAAATAAATATGGGCTTGTAATGTTAGTGCTGCAAATGGCTTGAAAATGCAATCTGCAGATGCTTTACTGGGCTGGGAACCAAACAGGAGATTTAAAAAGCCCCGTATCCACCAGATCTAGTTTCTTAGGCTTTTTTGGTGCTTTACTTGTGGTTTTTGAGGGCTTCGGGTTGCCAGAGGGAGAGGAGCTGTGTTTGACAGGGCTGGGGGAGCGGAGAAGCTCGGTGAGGGCAGTAATATCAGTGTGCAGACTGGCTCGTCGCTAGGAACGATTCCTCTGGGTCTGGGCGCATTTTTAGTCAAATCTGCTGGTGGAGGAGACGGCACCTGCTCCCACATCTACGCTGCTCACATCTCGAGGCAGAGATCATCTCCTCCGGTCGCTCTCCAACAATGTGTTCGTCCTTTGCCTCTACGACCCCCAAAATCCTGCACCGTACTGAGTGGAGGGCACCTTCCAAAAATGCTCTGTGGGAGCTGTTTTTGCACTGTGCTGGCACAGATTCCCTGTTTGCTAGCCAGGTGTTTGCCGTCTGCCGCCCACAAGGGCCCAGCCCCTTCATCTGGCAGTGGAAGTGGCTTTTTTTCCCCTCTAAATTACGTCTTGTTTTCCTCTGCAGATCTCCAGCAAAAGAGAAGGGATACATTTGGAGGGAGGCAAGAGGAAGCACCTGCGAGTCTATTGGTGTATTTTTAGCCCGTTTCCCAAAGAAGTGAGACCTGTGATCTCAACCTGTGTGTCTTTTCTCACTTTAGTTTTGAAAATTTTTGAGGGGATGGGGGGAGAAGTGAGTAAGGTAAAGGAGAATGTCTCCATCTTCCCCTCACACCCCACCAGTGCTCTTTCAGGCAGAAAAGCACCACCAGCGCCAGGGTGGAACAGACCCTGCAAGATCCCACCATGGAAGTGCCAGGCCATGCTGTTAGGAGGTTTGGGTTTGCATCCTTGTGGGCAGGAGGAGTTTCCCTGTTGCCTTGGTGGAGGATAAGTAGCCTAATTGTTGACCTGAGGCAAAGCAGTGGCCGGAGGTAAGAGCCTTGCAGATTTCAGTCCAAAAGAAGAGGTGCGTTGTCTGCAGAAGGTGAAATCCTGGCTAAACCCAAGACTTGAGTGATTTTCTGGAAGAGTTACCTTAAGCACACAACTGTTGGGTGTGTAATGTGAGCACAGCAGCTTTATAGCCTGGGTTTTATGCCTGATGTACATCGATGTCATCAAAGAACCCATCCATTCTTGGTGTCTGTGGGCACTACCACTTGATCACCAGCTAAAGACGTGCTACATTTGAGAAGGAGGGTGGGCTGGAGACCTCCCGCGTCCCTCTCCAACCTGAACAAGCCGGCAGTTTCACCCAGGAGCTACCACACCTCCCTCTGACCCACAGATAGCAGCTCTTTTCCGTGTGCATTTACGTTGGTGACTGCAGGGAATGTGTGATCTGTGAGTTTACGTGCAGAGACAGGATGGTTTTCCTCTGCCGAAGTGCCAGGCTGGCACGTACCGGCACCCGTCAGCCCGTGAGCAGTGTTTGCAGCTTTACCAGCTAGAAGAGCAGGGAGCGGAGAAGAAACCACGAAAGAAGATTAAATACCAACGAGCGGTTTTCATTGGCCATCTTAAAATTGCAGCTTGGTAATTAAGGCTTTAGGCAGCTCACAAATAGCCCAGCTTTCTGCCGACTCGCTTGTATTGTGAGCCAGTGGCTGCTGCGAGGAGCTGGACTGTATACTTTGGCTGAAAGGGAGTAAGAGCAAAAGGTAAGGATGCGTTGGAGCCTGCTTCCAGCCAGCGGTCTCCCTATTCCTCTTACCCCTTCCCAGTTTCTCTGGGGTTGAATGCAGTGATCGTAAGTGATTTGGGCAGCTTTAAATTTCCCTTTTCCTATCGATGCCTGCTAAATTAAATTTTGAGGGAGGGAGAGAGAAAAGCTCTTTTCCTTCTAGCTGAGATGTGAGCGTCCTGGCTGGGCTCTGCAAGCAGGGACTGAGACTTGTGCATCTGGAGCAGTTCTTGTTGGCGCAGCCAGATGACAGTGGAGGGAAAGCCGTGAGAAGCCTGGAAAGAGTCCGTGCTGGCATCCAAATGTCACATCTGAGGGTTTTGGGTCGTGGCTGAGGAAGCCGGCGTGTTATGAAGGAGCATCATTTGGGAGCAGCCGTGTTGTGAAGTGTGCTGGGATGACTGGAGGGTGATGAACTTTGTGTAACTCCTCATTCTCTTCTGGAGTGTTCCACAAGCAATGGTCAGGGCTCAGCCGTTTTATTTATGTGGGTGAGAGGAACTGGCAGGGGCAGAAGAGAGGGAGAGGCTTTGGACAACACGGTAAGGGCCCCTTTGCTTTCTTGCTGCAAGTACTGAATAGCATTTTGCTGGTGAGGAGGTGCAGGAGGGTGTGCTTTCGTCTTTCAGTATCAAACCTTTAGGCAAAACCTGTGATATTTGGAAATTATCAAGGGATAAGGGAAAGGTAGGAGAGTTCCCCAAAATGACTTCCTAGAATTTGTTCTGCCCCATGTTTTTTCGGATGATGGAGCCTAATCTGGCAGTGTGGCCCTGCACATACAGTGGGACTGGTCCTCTGAGCTGCCCGGAGAATGGCTGATGTGGTAGGTCTCTGGGGTTGCGGCTCCTGGAGGACATGAACAGCAAAAAAAAACCCACCAAAAAAACAAAACCAGTTCCCGTTTGGATGATTATCGAACATGGGTGTTTTTACGATCACGTTAGCTGCTGCTAACATCTACTTAGACTTTGTTTATTAATACCCTGTCCTTTTGTGCAGGTTTGGGTGAACTCTGGTCAGACAAGTACGAAGCATCCTTAGGGAACAAAGGGGAAACTCGTATAACTCGCTAGCTGTAGTGCTGCCTGATAGGTATCTTCGTGGTTGCAGAGCTGTGCAGGAGGGATTTAGGGATGAGAAGGTATCCAGCTCACGTGGGCTGGGGTCAGGGAGGCAGCCCGGCTAGATTAGCCTGCTGCATGATCCACGGCTGATTTTGGAAGAGACAGCATTTGGCTTAAGGCTGTTTCAAAAGTGATTTGTAAGGTCAGGGTGACATTGCTATGATCTAATTTAAAATGGAAAGGCATTATACTGTCTGTTGGCAGATTGCTCCTGAGGCCACACCCAGCCGATGAGGTTAAAAAAAAAAAGGCATTTCCAGGGGCTTTACTGCTTGCAGAAAGTTATTGTTTTTAAATAGGGAAACCAGGCCTGTTTGATTTGTCCCACTCTTGGTGTCACCTCTGGTTTAGAAGCTGCTGAATTGCTCTTGATGGATGAGGGTCCCCCTGCACTGTTGTACAGGATTTTCTTCGTTATTCACACATTGGTAATTAACCTTTCTTCCTCCCTAGAGAGGCAGGCACATGTAAACATCCAGTTTTTTTCTTTCTGGCTGAAGAAACAACTGCAGAAAGGTCTGTGTGGCCGCAGGCTGCCTTTTTTTTCTAGCAGGAACCAAACTTCTCTCTTGCCATGAGACACCTTCAGCTGGAGTGAGTGCTCCAGGAAGTACAGAAATAAATCCCAAAGCGTGTTCGTGTCCCAGATCACACCTGGGTTCAGACCACTGTTGCAAGGCTTTGGCGTTTAGTGGTGGAGAACACATTGGGCTTCTGGGTCTAAGCTTTGGTGCATTGTCTGTTTATGGTAAAGGCTTTGTATGTGGATATTTATCCCAGGACTGATCTGAAACATTTAACTGTCCATCATAGGCTCGTAGTTTGTAGTTGTTTGGATCTAAATGGGCAACATAAGAGGTGTGGCAATCTCCTGGGCATCCCATCCCTCATTCAGAGCTGCATATGTGTAATGCTGGCTGATTTCTGCTCTTTTTTCTTGCCAACATCTCCTGCAAATGCTCCTTGAGGCCTGTCCCCACGAGAGGGAAGTGGCTGTTACTGCTGTACTTCTATCAGTAAGGACAAGTATTAAGCTGGCATTGCTCAGTGGGTGTGGATGTCCCATAATGTTTTCAGTTGCCACCAGGCACAGACAGCATTTTCCTCCTGTTAAAGAAAGTCTTCCCTAGGATTTGGGTCCCGGGGGGGGACCCAGCCCTGGTGACAGAGAACAGAGCTAGGACAGAGCAGGCTTGAATTATCCCAGTTTAGTGGCAGATGGAGCCGTTTCTTCCTCCTTTGGGTTATGTCTTATGAGTTTAACCTCAGTCCCTCAAGAACAAGTGTTCATGCTGCAGTGATATACGTCCTTTATTTGTCCGAGGTATTTGTTCCCCAGGTAAGAACTGGGGCCAACAGCAAAGCAAGGTGAAGCTCTCCTGCTGCATTGCTGGTTGCTTCCACTGTCTGCTTTCCAAAATTATATTCGAGTCTTCAGGGCTCCCAGCCCAGACCTTCTGCAGTAGTTCAGAGGTGGCACCTCCCACTGTCTGCAGCCAGTTTGTTAATTTAATAGTTATTTGAATTTCCCTAGTATTTCCTGCACTCTCAGTTACTTCCTGTCAGCTCTAGGCTTGTGATTTCTCATCATTTCAGATTTGCCTGCAGAAACTTGTATTCGAGGGTAAAGCATAGATGCCGTTCTGTGGGACCGAGCACCCCTGGCAATCCATAGCTGTGTTTTTTTTCGGGTGTGTTTCTAACCAGACCTGTATTTTTCTGTCTCTCTAGTCATGCAGGGACCGAGACCAGTGGTCCTGAGTGGTCCGTCGGGTGCAGGGAAGAGCACTTTGTTAAAGAAACTGCTTAAAGATTATGAGAACATCTTCGGCTTCAGCGTCTCCCGTGAGTATCCGTATGTCTCTGGGGAAGGGCAGTGGAGGAGTTCAGGGCTGCCTGCCCAGAGCCTGCTTCTGTAGCTGTATTCATGCCCCAAATAATGGGCTTCCATGGCTTGCCTGTGTCCTAGTCTGTCTGTGGGCTCTTTGGGCTGTTTAAAATAAGTCATGACACCTTTTAGTACAGGTATTGAGTGGCAAGTCTAAGATTTGTCTGAAATAGCAATAGCACTGTTTCCAGGTCTGGTGAATCCCCATACCTCCAAACAAAGCTCAGAGAGGCAATGAGATTTTTCCGAGTGATTCTTGACTCTGAAAGTAACAAAATCCCTCCCCCACATCTGCTTCAAAAGCCAATTCTTTCCATCCACCTGTGTTCCCACTGACAGGGAACTGACAGGGATTTTAACAGCCATGGGGCTGCACACCAAAGTCTCAGATGTAATATGAGACAGTTTTGTGAAGCCCATCTCATTACTGGGTCAGTCAGTGAAGCAGTTTGCTCCATAACCTGCGTCGTTCCTCCTCCTGCCGTTATCCTGGTGGTTTGTTGACTTTTTCTATGTTGGTCACTAAGTTCTGGCCACGGGTTTTTTTTCTTCTACCTGGGATGGTTCTCTGTAATGTGAAAATAACCCCTGGCCGGCCGGCTCGGTCCACTCATGCCTGCCTGCAGGCTGCAGGCAGTGCTGAAGTCCTGCGTCCGCAACGGAGTAAGTGCAGGGAGTTTTCTTCAGGCAGCTTGCCTGTTGCAATACTAATTTTGTTTCCTTTTTCTTGAGTGACACCTGAAAAGTTACCCTCAGAGTCTGGGCTGTGTCCACAGCTCATTCACCTGATTTGCCCTGGAGCTCTGCAAGGTGTTTTTAAGTACGTTACCAAAATTTGTTTTACTATCCTAACGCTTTGGATACCGCAGGTGAAATCCTTGCTTTGAGATCTGTATTCGTTCTACCATGAAAGGGCAAATACTGGATGTTTAAAAATTTAATGTTACTGGAGATGAAAAAAAAAAACTTAATTATCTTTCCTCTGTGTGTTTCATCCTATGCTTTTGATTCAACTGAATCTCTCATCTCACTCCAAATTAAATCTTACGGTTTTCCCCAGGGTTGCCTCTTGATAGATATTTTTTTTCCAAAAGTCTCCATAGGCCACTTAGACCTTGGCAACTGGCGCTTTATAAAAACTTACAGGTGATCAGAGCCTGTTTGCATTAGGTTAACTCCTGCCGGTCCTAAATATAATAATTGGCATTACCCTCCATGGTGACCATCGGCTCCTTTTTGGTTTGCAGAGCATGTCCTTAAAATAATACTAGTTTGAACAACTTCCAACAGGGTTCAAAGGCTGTCTGATTTATTCACCGACCTCATGCGGGAGTTTGCCCTTATTCATTAAATCTGGCTATTTTAAGCACCTATGTAGGTGCTGCGTGATCTTTTAAAATGAAGATAACTCCGCGAAGTAGGGCGCTGCTAATTCCCCTTAACCGAGGCAGAGGTCCGAATAGCGTCTCTAGGATTACACAAGAAGGCTGTAGCAGAGATAAAAACTAAGCCCAGCCTGGTAAGTCCCACGCTGACCGCTCAGCCCCTAACAGTCTTAATTGATTGTTTTCAGATTATCTAGGATGCTTCGATTAAAGGCCAATCCTGCATGTCGTTGTGTGTTGCGCTAGCTGATTCCAGAAGCTTTGATCATTTTAAACAGAGGATCAGCTTACTACGTGATTGGGTTAATCTGCTGTGCGCGTGCTTTTATTTCTTCGATACTATTACTTCCTTGTGTGATCTACACAATCTACAAGGCTGGTTTTTGCTTACAGATACCACAAGGCAGCCAAGACCCGGAGAAGTAAATGGCAAAGGTGAGTGTGTTGGAGTTGGGTCTGTCTCATCAGACTGGGGAAACAATTTCTCTGAAAAATTCTAAGTTTTTATGTGAAGTGCATGCATGAATCCCCACTAGCAGATAAGTTCTCCCTCCATTTATGTTTATAGGGTGCATTTCCCTAGGCAGGAGGAGCAGGCATTCAGTAATGATATATTTGAGTGTGTGTGCGTATGTATACACACACAGTTCTTGACCTCAGTGGCAGTGAGACCGTAGCCATTTACTGCTCTTCTGCAGTATGTGCCATGCGTCGGAGGGAAGATAATGAAGAGGGCTGGACTTGGCAGAACAAACCCAAAATTTAATTAAGCGGTCAAATGTTAACAGAGGCAGAGCGTGTGCTGGCAGTTTTCTTCTCTAGACACCATCTCTGTGACTCGCTGGCTGAGGTTTTCAAAGCGGGGCTCTCAGTTTTAGTGCCCTGGTCCATACTTGGGCATTGAGTGGCTTGGTTTGCCGAAGGGCCAGGTAGCTCTGGTGAGGTACCTCAGCTGCATGCTGCTTTGGGAAATGCAACTGCTTAATGAGATACCTTTATCTGTACTAATAGCTTGTGTGCAGCTGGCCAGCTGCTTTTCTGTTTTCTGGTTTGTTTGCATATTTCAGAAAGAATCAAATGAGGTTTGCGCTTAACTTCCAACAGCAGTTTTCATTCTGAAGTGAAAGGGAGGAACTTTAACAAAAGATAGAGAAACATTCCTTTTTAGTTTGTTTGGTTTTGATGTTCCCTTTTATCTCCCTCTCTCTCTCGTCCCATTCTAGTCTTTAATAATAAATGTTTTCAAATTAAGGGCCTTGGCAGTCCTGCTGTGATGTGTTCTACACCTGCGGGGAACAGGGGGGAGTTTCCCACTGCATAAGAAAAGGGAAAGGGTATGAAAGAGGGGTACAGCAGCATGTCTGGCCACACAGAAAGCTCCAAAACATTTTGAGCAGGTGTCTGGGCAATTGGTGTGGAGAGGGGATGCTGTATACAGTAATTAGAAAGTAGATAATTGTAGTCTGCCAGCGTTGTCCAAAGCAGATTTTAAGGTGCTTCTCCCCTAAACACTTACGGGTGTCGTTTTGACCATGAACTTTACCTTCAAAGCTATTAATTTCTGGGTATTTTTCCTGTTTTCTCTCTCTAGATTACCACTTTGTGACCAGAGAGGAAATGCAGAAAGAAATCGATGCTGGTGAATTCATCGAGCACGCAGAGTTCTCTGGAAATATGTACGGGACGAGGTATGCAGTTCAGACTCTGTTTCTGCTCAACCCAGGTGGTGCCGGGAGCTGAGGTGATGGTGAAGGCAAAGATATTTTAACTTAGTGACACCGGTTTCCTCCAAACAAGTGGATTCTTGCCATAAGCAAAGCCTTTCATTTTGATAGCGGGGTCCTTGTCAGCTTTATTAAGATGGCAAAATTAACTCTTGCAGAGAGTTAGCTCATCACAATTAAATCATCGTTGTGCTGTGAGATTCTCTCTAATCTCCCGTGAGTGAGGGATGCTGAAGTGGTTTGTCTAACACTTTCCTTGCACAGGGGTGATTTTCTCAGGCTATTTATGTGCCTTAATATTTTCCAAGAGCTTGCAGAGAGTAGTGGGCAGAATGGAGACTTATTCTCGTTACCTCTGCCTCACTTAATGGTCTGAATACTATGAATTCAGGAGCAGAAGCGATGATACCTGTACTGGCTGTTGTGAAACAAGTACGCGTGCTGCTTTGGTAAAGTGGCTGCTTATGAATAGATAAATTGCATGGCACCCTTGACTGGGGTTAAAGAGTTAGGGGGATTTTAAAATAGCATTGCCCTGGGCGGTGGAGCGGATGATCAATCAAACATTAAGCTGCAATGTTAATTAGAAGTCAGATATCTTATATAATTATTGTGAGAAAATTGTGGCACTGTAGTAAAGGAGGAAAGTTAAATGTTTCCTCCTGCTAAGGAGGAAAGTTAAATGTTTCCTGAGATATTTAATTAGTTGCATTAAAGAAATTTGCCTGAAACACTTTTCAGGGAGATTTACATTTCTTAAAGAGCTGGATGTGTTTTTTTGAGGAATTTTTGGAGATGGCAAAGTTAAGCTTCTGAGGATGGTTTCCTTATGGGAGGTGCCAACGTAAGGCCCTGGCCTGAACATGCTCTTGGGTGTACAGCTCTGAAGGAACAGCTGGTGATTTTGCGTTTCAGTAACGTGGCTGTTTTAATGTGACGTGCACAGGCGTCACTGCTGTCACCGCAGCTAAGGGCAGCCTCGCGGGGGTCTGGCCGTGCTCCCTCTGAGGCTGATGGCGAAGCACAATCCCCTGCCCTGGCCTTGATGCTTCCAACGTCACTGGTTTGGCAACAGAAGTGAAACCGGACAGCTCATCTTCCAAATAACTCGGCACCAAGGAGAAACTGAGTTCAAGCTCCTTAATCCCTGGTTTCATCCTGCGTAGGACAGGCTTTTTTCCTTCACATGGATCCTGCTTAATCCAGCCGGCCGCAGTGTGGAGGAGACGGCTGTTTTCTGATGCTTGGTACGTAGGTGATTTTGGTGCCTTTTCCTCAGGGTGGGTGCTGAGAAGACATCTCTCCTCAGCCAATTTCCTTGAAATTTGCAGGAATTTGATGCCTTAACCAAATCAAATGATGTCTTTGGGTTTGTTTCTGAGGTGCTTTTCTCCCTGGCCCTCGCTTTCATCTTTGGTCCTGTCTGCATATTCACGCTGCCTGTGTTCTGCCTGTGGTGGGCACGCAGGGTCGGAGGCTGAAATTAACCCAAACTATCTCAAGCAATAAAGACCAGTTTGCAAACCGAATAAATACAGAAACTCTCCAAGCCTGTCTTTCCTCTACGGGTGCCTAAGGATGTTTCTAATCAGATGTGTGATAAAATGGAAAGAGTCCCTCATGCTTATCAGAATAGTTGACATTTTCATCAATCCTTTCTGCTCCCTAAATCTCATCAGCTAATAATAATGAATAGCTAAAATTAATTGCTTAATTTAAGAGCCCTGAAAGGGCCCTGTCTGTGGGATAGCACTGAGTCCCACCCACAGAAACTAGAATTTCTTTGAAGCCACCTTAAATTAGAGGCTGAAATCAGAGTGCGGGCAGGGGGTTTCTCTCTTAGGGCTCTGAGAGCTGCTGGCTCTTTATAGATCGGTTGTAGTGAGATTTAGTTGGGACCTGGTGATACCAGATGAAGCCTGCGGCTTTCACAACGCAAACCAAGCCATTTTGGGAAGGTTTTGTGAAATTGCAGTGGATGGTGCTCTCGCTGCTGCCCACCTGGGCAAAGCAGCAAACCTCTGTATTTGTGTAGGGTACAGTGCTGGTCTCGCAGCTTCGTTTCAGCATTCTCCTTCCTGTTGGTGTCTGTGACCTGTGTTGTGGGACTCCCAGGTCAGGAGGAAAGTCAACAGGTACTTCCATCCTCCTGCTGCTGTGTCAGGCTGCTCCGTTGCTCATCTCAGGTCACTGGGGCTTTTCTTGGGCTTTCAGGCTCCCAGAAGTCTTTCCCTGTCTCAGCTCTGCTCCGTATCCTTCCGAGAAGCACTTTCTGGTCCGCACTGCCTCTGTCCTCTCTGGCAGCGTTTGCAGAGAGCTGTTGTGAAGCTGCGGTACCCGTGGCTTCAGGACTCTCCGTCTGTGCCGTCCCATCTTCCTCTGCACACCCTGCCAACAGCAGCGCTGTGGCCACGAGCAGCTGCTGCGGGACACCCATGGGTGCTTTCCCTTCGTGCCAGTGAGGACGCTGTCTTCTCCAGCTGGCACATCCAGGAGCAGGGCTGGTGAGAGCTGTGGGAGGAGGGCTGGGGCTCCCGAATCCTGTTTCGCTGGAGCTGTGACTCTCTTTTTCTCGGGCGTGGGACAACACAGGTGCATTTGTTTAAGGGAGTCTGTTTTCAGTGTGTCTTTGCAGAAGGCATCAGGGAGCAAACCTTGGTGGTGCAGGGTGACGGGATGAGGTCCAAAGAGTTGCCCTGGGTATGGGCAGGGAATCAGGCAAGTTGGAGGCTGGCTGTAGGACAGCGTTTTCTCTTAATCTCTGCTGCCGTTGCGTGACCTTCTGACTTCACGACCTCAAAATCTGCAGTGCCACCTCTTAGTTCCTGGCAGGGCTTCTCTCCGCACTGTCCATTGAGCCACAGAGCCCTGGCTTGAAGGAGAACCTGTCTTTGGCACTGTGAAAATACTGACTGAAAAGTCCCGGAAACTAGTCCAGGTACCTCCAGTGCACCAGGAGAGGGTCTCCTCAAGGGAGAATTGTGGGTGTTCGGGAACAAGCTTGAGGCAATTCCCTGTGGTGGGGAAGAGATACCGTCTTTAATGACATACAAGAGACATAACTTAAAAAATATTTTCTTAATTGTGCATCTTGCGACCCAGGCAGGAGCATCCATCTCCATCAAGCGTCTTTCAGAAGAGCGTATGGGTACGGAAATCAGTGGATCTCTGGAGAAGGAAAGTTCTTGGCGTTTTTACTCTTTGGTGAAGATTGCTCCTGTATTTGTTGAAGGCAGGAGCTTTATGGACTGTTCCTGTGCCACACTGCTCATGGAATAGTCGCACATTATCCATTTCCACACCTTCCATCGTGGTTTTGCCACTCTCTAGCAGGAGCCAGCAGGTTCCCGCTCCACCCAAGGGATGCAGAGGACACTCCGGGAAAGCGAAACT